ACCAATACAATCTTTACTGATTTATATGGAAATAAATTATTATATGTATACGAAAGCAGAACAAATGTAATTAAGTTTGGTGAACAAATGAATATGTGAGCTCAAAATATTACCGCTAAGTACGAAAATAAAAGAGATGAAGTGGTTAACTTGAGCAATAAAATTTGGTATAAGAAACAAAAAAATACTGCAATTTTTATAACAAGGTAAAAAATTACATTAATGTACAACACGTACCTCAATAATTAATCACAGCGATATTGTTAACGTGGATTAGTGTAAAAAATAAGCCTGTAAAGCTAAGGACCAGACTTGCGACAGAGTGGCTTCACCTTTATATTTCAAAACGGTTTGCTACAGGGGAGAGAGTGTGAAACTTAGAACATTCGTTGGAAACAAAGTTGAAATATTTTCATAAAGTTAATTTTATGCTATACGTCTCTAAAACTGACTCAGTAGCATACAGTATTGATCTTTAACATGATATACAATATTTTAGAGCACCCCGAACAAAATATCTTAATTTTCCGATAGCAAGAATCGAAACGATAAACAAATAAGAATTGATTAATTTCAGGATATAAGTAAATTGTGAAATAGGTATCTTTTTTGAAGGAATCTTTGTTTTGTGAATCTGATCGAAGTTCCAACTACGTATATTAACAATTGATCGATACAAAATTCTCTTTATGAAGTGAGCTGAAGACGCAATTCCCAGAACTGCTACTAATCTATACTATTATATAAATACGTTTGTAGGAGGTAATTTCTCGATATACTGAACCTAGTTTTAAAATTCTTTTTAACCTGGGCTTTCTATTGAAAGCTACGTTATTTGCGAGTGTTATAGGCTATATATTAACTTGAAAAATGAAACGACCTTTTAGTGCTAGTCGGATTTGCAAAGTAAGTCGGAGAAAAACGCTTGAACGAAACCGTTTCTTACGAATGCTGTATTAATTATGAGATACATATGATGTGAATTGTGACGTTGTAGGAGGTAAATTCTGGATCTACTGAACCTATTTTTAAAATTCATTTTAACCTGGGCTTTCTTTTGAAAGCTACGTTATTTGTGAGTGTTATAGGTTATATATTAACTTGAAAAATGAAACTATCTTTTAGTGCTAGTCGGATTTGCAAAGTAAGTCGGAGAAAAACGCTTGAACGAAAACGTTTCTTACGAATGCTGTATTAATTATGAGAGATATATGATTTGAGTTCTAGAGAAAAGTTAGATCTAAATAATGCCTATAAAAAAATCAAGGATAGCATATGTCTTACTTTTATAATTAAGTCAAAAAAAGAAGCAATTTATAATTTAATTCGTTATGTCATGTTTTTCGATAATCAACATTATGATTTTTTATCAAAATAAGTAATTTATCGTCTAACTTAAGTGTTTAAAACAAAAGACTTTTCCCTTTTTCTGCATATAATTTGGATAATACGACATAGGTATGGAACTGCGATCGTATCGTAATCTATTGAGTGACAATTCTATTGAACTTTTTTTTTCATCTACACCGAAACGAAGCGAGGCCTGGCCACTAATATTATTTTAATACGTACGTATAAAACTAAACTTTACACTTCGAATGTTCTCCGAGACTATATAATAATATACCTTCTCTCCTCCTTAAAACAGAATTAGATAAATATTTAAGGGGGGCCATACAAGAAGCGTGTTTTTTTGCCGTTTTTTGCTCTATATTAATGACGCCAACAGGTAGACGCTTAAAAATTCCCAAAATATTAAGCTGTATATTCTTTACAAAAAAAAAACAGTAGAATCCATTTATAATAACCAACCGATTATTATGACGTAATTACACTACGAAGTTTAGTTTACATATAAAATTATTTGTAAAAAAGTCGGATATAATGACTTCCCTTACAGTGACATGTCGCTTAATATGACCCATTTTTGATAACTTATGTGCGGTTATAATGACCGACATGATTTTTTACACCTTCGGTAATATTCGTTGATTCCTGACGATGTTCGGCACGTGGCTCGTTTTTGTTTTGAATCTGAGTGAGTAATTGACACTTGAAGATCACGCATTATTTTTAGTGACATCCTGTGAAAAAAATGTCATCTCAACGCCGCGGCTAACAATAGAGACTGGTATTACAATAAAATGAAAAAACAAAAGCAGACAAAAATTACAGATTACTTACATTAGAAAATGAAAAATATAGTACATACAATAAAATAGATAGTATAGATAATGGTACGGAACCCTTCGAGCGCGAGTTCTCGCACTTAGCTAATTTTTCCCCCTTTGGGCACTACATATTTGTAATTATTTAAGAACTTTTTTTTACATTCTTGAGAATATGCTAGACATGTATTAGAAACCTTCCGGTAGCTTTATTCGGGGACAAACGTTCCAAATATTTCTCTTACAACTCAGTATAACTTTCATGGCCTAAAAAAATCAAACTTTAATACTGAAAGGACCGAGCCTTTTTTCCGGTGTTTTTTTCCAACCTGGCCTTGAACTTGTAACTTTTGCATAATGTATAGATATTTGCACACGAGCACTTTCGACGTACGCTATTGACAAGTTACCAGCCATCGCAGAATTTACCCATCTGCACTGGATCACCATATAAGGTATTCTGTTTTCTTCCAGTGCAACATAGATTAGATTGATACATTAATTTGATGGGGCAACAATTAGTGCATCAGACTGCGTTCGTGGAAGTTAAATTAATTATCTCGAGCTCCTTCGTAACATGAAGTTAAGTAAAGGCGCGATTCGACAAACAGTCGGCCAATAAACACATAATGTCGTGGTTGATGTTACTTCGGGAATCGTAATTGTACCGTTAAAGCGATGGTCTCGGCTGCATCTGAAGTTGTTAGCACCCACCACTCCTTCAGGGTGGGTCATATTATGGTCATGACCCGTTGTCTTTATTTCATCCATTCGGTAGTTATTTGCCCCAGCCGTGCAGACATTGATGTGCAGATGTTGAAGATAATGACAAAAATCTACAAATCCCACTTCACACACGACTACTCTCATGTAGGTTTTAATACATTTAAGGTTATTTATAGGAGGAGGCACACAAGTGTTAGTTTATAAAAATACTATCGTAGATAATATAGAAGTTTTAGTCGAAATAGAGATTAAAAACAAAATTGAGAATAAAGGCTATAGGAAAGGAAACTATTCGGGTCAGTCACATGAGGTTGTGTAACGCGAGAATCCCTTCTATTTTTGCATAAAAATCAATGAGTAAATAGAAAGTCGCGAACCGGACCTGTCCTACCGGTTGCCAGGCATCGTTCGCGAGTTTATTAGTTGATCGATATCCAACTCTAAATACTTACTCGCACTATCTGTGCCGAACTGCCGACCGTATGAATTAACTACAAAAAGGATGGTAGGTACTTCCTAACAACAACCTTTGATTAAAACAAACAGAAACTGTGTTGTTATATAATTTTAAAGCATTAAACTTCTAGATATTTAAATCATAAAATTGTATTAAAAAAAATTGACGCGGCTCAGGCAGCAGACGGGACTCGAACCAGCACCATCCGCTATCCGGGCGGGTGCACTGACCATCATGCTACCGTGGCCCTATTGCCTCGCAGCCTATGAAATACTAGAAAGAATTCGACACGGCCAAGAGGGCCGTGGTAGCATAATGATCAGTGCATCCGCCCAGATAGCGGAGGGTGCGAGTTGGAGAAACTTTGTTCTCATAAAAATAAAGCAAAACTATAAGGTACATGAATAGTACATACTTAACTAAAAATCAATATAAGAAAACAATCAAAATATACATAATGTTAGTTAAGAAAACCAACAACCCATAAACCATAAACATAATACGTACCTTCCATACAGCAAGGCCGTGAATTAGTAAAGTTGAAAAAAAAAGTGTAGTAGTTACACCGAATATGACATCACACCAATGACCGGCTACAGACAGATAGATAGGTACATACTTACTCACTTCACAATGCAATGACTCACCAGAGTGGTACCGACTTTCGTTGCGCGTGAGTCGCCTGTTGGTCCTCCCTGGCGGCGAGCGGAGCGCCGCGGCAGGCCTCACTACGCCCCAACAAACAACCACACATACACGTGACCACACGTACACACAAGTCTTGGCACGCCCCGATATTTTAGGAAATTCAGAACTGAAAACGTTTTTGCTATGTTCCCAATTCGCCGACAGCAACGGTTCTGATTATTCCTTCTTTTTGTTAAGAGAGATCACGAAAATTACCAGACGCTAAATTGTTTTCAATTCTAAATTTGTATACCAGTCTAATCGCCATTACTTAAGAAAACATATTAAAGACAACAATGGCTCATTATTAACAATGTTATGTTAACAATGCAGCGCTGAATGGCGACTAAACTTGTATTTGCTCTTGTTAATTTCGAAATGTCTGATCCTCGCCAGACACGCACGCACTGTATAGGCACATATAAATCCAACCTTTTACGGTTTCGCACAACACTCACAACCACAATTTATCTGCCCAAGGATCGTTTAGAAAACGGAAAGAAATCAAGAAGGTAGTTTGCATATTGTATCGTTAAAGTTATTGTAACAACTATGTTGACATACGTTTGGCGATCTAACCGAACTCAAAAATGTTTAATCAGGATCCTAGGCCCCCCTTATGAAATAATCCATTTCAAGAATAAAAAATGTGTATCCATAATATGTGTTCTATCAGGCAGGACCGACCGTAGAAAGAAAAAATAGTCTGCGTGCCTCTCTAGAAATCGGAGTTTAAACTTTTGTGTAAGAAAACATTACATAATAGTGTCTAAAGATTCAATCATTTATTCATAATATCAAAAATTAACAGTGACTATTTTATTAGTAAACCAGAATATGAATAATTATATCAATAATATTATTTTGTAATAGAAATCCTAAAATAAAAATTATGATAAAACTTTTGTCGATGTATAAAAACTAATTCACGAGTACTTTTGTGCATAAATCCTTATAATAAAAAAAACTTCAAAACAATTTGACAGTCGTTGAAAAAGAAATTAAAAACTTTTTTTCTTTGACGCAACAATTTTTTTCTCCTATTTGACAGTTGTAAATCACGACGATATTTTTCATAGCAAATAATCTTTAGATATCTTTTATTCAATAAAATAATGAGTTTAAAGTTGAAAGGGGCTGAGGTGAAGGTGGACGTAGTTAGACTGGAGTCGCAGTCGATCGACGAGCATCTGCGTTCTGCAGCGGCTGTGCTATGCGAGATCCTCAATGACGATAATAGTATAAAAAACGAGGACAGCAGCGATGGACATGAGAGTTCTATGGAAGAAGATGGCGACGGGCATCGTTGCCAAAACTGCGGAAAAATTTACAAGAGCGCCAACACACTGAACGTCCACTATCGTCTGAAACATCCAGAGGAGGCGTCGCAAGTACGATGCAACGAATGTAACAAGAGCTACGCTTCTTCTCTGAGCCTGCAGAAGCATGTGCGCTACATGCACAAGTACGCCAACCGATGTGACGTGTGCTATCGAGCGTTCGCTTCTATCGAGGCTTTTCAACAGCACGGGGAGATCTGCACGAAGGTGGAAACGCCATGCCCTACTTGCGGAAAGATATACGATTCCGCGTTGTCGCTGCGGAATCACGCGAAGTACAAACATCCAAAAAAGAGAACTTTTTCGTGTGACGTGTGTCGGCGTACGTTCACATCGAATAGGGGGCTGTCGAACCACATGGCTCGCATACACCCGACGGATATAAACTGCAACCAATGTAACAAGAAGTTTAGTACAGTGGCGACGCTGCAATGTCACTTCCTGGATAAGCATACCGAGAACGGTGAGCGGTGTAATCTGTGTAGAAAAGTTTTTACGTCAAGCCGTAGTCTATCACGTCATTTGAGCAAAACCCATGACATTGCGACCAAGTACAGTGGAGAGAAGTATTGGTGTGCCCAGTGCAATTTGAACTACCAGTCAGTCAACGACTTGATCCAACACGCAATGGCAGCGTGTTCACCACTCCAGAAAAAAAGCGAATAAAATGTTTTGTAATAAACTTTTTTTTAACGTATTTTATCCAAATCGTGTTCTTGTGACTGCAATATTTTAAACATAATTCATTATTTCAAACTTTAAAAGCATGACCAATAACAATCTAAACTGCATTTCACGTCGGCCAGAATCATTATAAAAAAAATATATTTTTTAAAGTTCTAAACATATCTTAACTTTTACATCCAATACCGACCCTATCTGATCTTAATTATAATAATTTATTATGTAAAAGCGGTTGCATTATATAGAGCTTTTACTAGGTTCATTGGTACAACAATACCAATTATTTTCAAACCACAACATAGTAACTTCCCGGCTTTAGCATATTCAGCGAGCATTAATTATTCCACAGACCAACCGCAATAGTAAAATTTCAAATATATCATGTATCTAGCTGGTTTTGGTACATAATGTTAAATGCTCATATTATACGGCGAATATATAGCGTATTAGAGTGCTACTTTTAAGTTCCTTGTTCCAGTGAAAGTTCCCTTTTAATATAATCTGTGCAGTCATTCCATAATACTCATATGCAACATATTACGATGGCTAACTACTTGTGCGGGTAAAACTATTTTAATACGACAGCATAAAATGTTACTAATTTCTTGAATAATGAGAATCTAAAATCAACAAGCACATTAAAATAGTTTGTTGTTTATAATAATTTGTTTAAACTGTAATTTCTGCGACCAAGAATTGACACTTGAATGGAATTGAGCAAAAGACTTATTTAAATTGTATCCTACTAATATTATAAATGTGAAAGTTCGTTCTTCAGTCACGCAAAAGCTTCTAAACGGATTTGGATGAAATTAGGTACGCATATAGTATAAGACCTGGAATTAAACATAGAATACTTTTTATCCCGGACAATATTATTAACGCGGACAAAGTCGCGGGCGGCCACTAGTTGGTAACTTGTAGTGTATAGAACTTATTGACATTTTAAATTGTCCAGAAGTATTTGGTCACCTTGTTTGCTACAATATGTCTGATGGCGACTGTACTATATTATTACTTTGGTACTTCAGTGGAATAACCCTCTCTTCTTACTTATTACATAATATATTCCAATGTATCAAAGTTTTATTTATTACATTACATATATATCGTTGGGAATGAAAATGACCTATTATAAGCCAATACAAGCTGACAATAATAAATCACAAAGGAGATAAATATTTACGAATTTTTCGTCATTGGGCAAACGTTAAAACATTTTTTCGTAGGCTAAATATAGAAATAATAGCAAGCTTTTACGGGCACTTACGTTTCCTTTTAAATGATTCAGTAATAATTTTATTCATACTAACTTAAGGAATCTGTTAGGAAGTCTAGTCAGTCTTGTCATGGTGATAAGGAGCAAAAGAAAATTGTAGAATGCGAAAACTGGTAACTTTCAGCTTTGTTATAAATTTCGAATCTAGAGACTTAACACGAAGACTCGATGCAATTAATTTTTTGGTCGCCTATCCAAAGTCCTGCTATCCAAAAGTTGTTTGATAACCTCCTTGCACACACTTAACGCTCACCCACCGTTATCGTCAATATTCTATAAAATATTAGTTCATGTACAACCCAACTTTTTTGATCTACTCAATTTTAGGGATTGCAATTATTTGAAGTCGTAACTTACGTCGATATTGAACGGTGTTTTCTCAAGGGCTCTCCTGCTTAGGCGTACGTACGTAAGGGCTCCATCAATACTTCCCTTTTCAAAACTTCAGATGAGTGCATCTCGTAAAAGATGTTTGATAACACTCGATTAGGCTTCATTGCTACGTGATACAAACTACGCCGTCGCCCAACAAATTTGTCTTTGTAAAGATAAAAAATAAATAGTTTAATTCTGATAAGAAATATATTTTATAGGTTATACCCCTTTTTAACAAAAGCGCGTTACACCTTATTTATTTCCCTTGCGGTCAAAATGTAATACCCTGTCTGAAACCTCGATCAAGTGGATTTTTTTAAGTTTTTATTACATTTACTCATAGTTAAGAGTTTGACAATTAACTGAAGGCAATGATCGTAGGTACTGAATCCAGACCTTTTCCCGTCTGAGATGTGGTCATCAGTACCATACTATAGGTTAAAGTCAACGATGGGTGTTTAATATCGTTCATATAATATCCAAAAAATTCATCTAAAATATTCGTAATTTATAAGGCCGGACGCGGCATTGTCTGAAACAATTCAACTTGTAGTATTAACTGCTTCATAACTATACCTACAAATTGAAATTTTAATCGCAGACTACTTCACGTCCTTACCGAAACGAAATAGACAGATGAAGAAGGTTATGAAAACCTTCTCCCCTTCCCTCCTTAAACGAATAGTGCGCGTTTTAACCCGTTTATGTTACTAGCGGCCGCCCAGAACTTCATACGCGTGGAGTTAGTTAGAAATAAAGATCACTGCTCGTTCCCCGCAGGTGATAGCGTGATAATATGTAGTTTATATGTAGACCCCGACTTCTTAATATTATTTGTTCCTTTGAAGTAAATCCATACAGTCCTTTTTGAGTTTAGCCCGGGCATACATACAGACAAACAAACAAAAAATCTAAAAACTATATTTTTGGCTTCGGTATCGATTGTAGATCACACCTCAAGTATTCTTTTAATAAAATATTCGATGTACAGTTTTGACTATCCTACCATTTTATTATATGTATAGGTATTTATAATGCAACGCGAAAGTTTCAAAGTGTAGATACTTATCGAGACGAACCTTATTTTTAGGGTTCCGTATCTCAAAAAAGAGAACCATTATAAGATCACTTTTTTGTCCGCCTGTCGACTCGCACTTGCCCGGTATTTTTTTCTGGGTAGAATGACCTGCGTATTATTTGCTTGAAAACCATTTAATAAAATTAACAAATGTCCCATAATTGCATTTAGACTACGCCTTCAGTGCAAAAAATATGTTCTTAGATTTTTTTTTTTTTAAACTCGTTTATTTATTACATTTTACATTTTAAGGTGCTGAATATAACATAATTGTAATATATAAGGGATTCGATATTTGTTAGAGTAGCCCCATCAGAATCCGAGGCCGCGTCGAGAGGAATTGCCAAAACAATTTTAAATAAACAAAAATGGAAAAGCTGACAATTTTTTTAAGAATAACAAGACATGAAGCACGTCACAATTGATTTACAAATGAATTGACCACGCTATTTATTTGTATTGGGTACAGATTCATTTGCACCTAGTTTTTTGGTTACGCATTGCTTTAATTTGGCCACGCCACTCAGTGTCTTATTTTAATCTGTTCTTTAGTTTCTAATCGGACGCGGTTAGGCAAACTAAAACCAGTTACAGTAACTAAAACATACTTTTGAGAAAATGAATATCCAACAGTGAAAATGTATTTACTTGATAATTCAGAAATGTAGATTCAATTATGTTCCTTAGTTAAAATATTATAACTTTTACAAATGATGTTTGTTATTTGGTGATCAAAGACATAAAATTGAATATTCATTGAACCAGAATTTATTTAACTTGCAAAGTGCATTGTACGTTCGGTTCAAATGAATTTTAAAGTAGTTATAATCAACCTAATGAGATGAAATTTTACATACACATTTACTTTCGATGGCAATGCATGGTTAGCTAAGTGACGTCTTTCTAGATCTAATATGACGGACAGTCCACGATGGTGGACTAGTAACTTTTGTGCACTCTCATGATATGGGTATCAAATAAAAGCATTTGTTAAGAATAATTCAAATTCTAATTATTCTTATAACTTCCGAATTTAATTATCATTTAAGTAAAAGCTTGTTATTTTTAATATAAAAAAAATAGTATTACTTAATAAGTCCAAAGTTAATTTGAAGGATGATTAAAAACAGAATCATAATATTTAAAATACCATTACATTCAGCAGTTATTTTCTAAGCTCAATAGTGAATCGTGCGCAGTCAGTGATTGCATAGAAACGACCTTGACCAGCAGTTTGCCGCGCGCTCGTACCACAGTATATATAAGCTAAAGAAGTACCTAAACTAGGCCTTTTTGTTAATTTAGATAAATATTTACGCCCCAATTGAGTGTTACGCTGAGGCCGCGAGTGAAAAAGAACTCATATAAACATATACATGTCCACGCTGTCGACGCGTGTTTGAAGCGATACAGACGCAGCCTATAGACTTTTGCACAGCTATAGGGCAATGCCTGTGCACACAACGTTTTTTAAACGCACCGTTGACGATACAGACGCCCGAGTGTAGCGATATACACGCGATGCTAACGCACGTGGTATGGCAATACAGACGAGATATTAATGCGCATGTATCGATACAAACGACAACGAACTGCTTTGTTGGATAAAAGCGCGTTAAAAAAACGTGGTGTACATAGGCTCCTAGGGTTGTCCTACCGTCGACACAACCAACTGTTTCGTAGCGTATTGTGTGTACTTGCGTACTGGTTCCAACCGAGTGTTTCACGACATTCACGTCGTAATTAAAATCAAAACGTTTATTTGAGTTCTATGATGATCAAATTATTCAAGAATTGACTAGTCAATCCATTGAATACTTTTGCCTGCTACGACACATTCGAAAAGCTTTATTATTAAATGTTATAGTGTAAAAACAACGCATTTTAGTGAATAGCTTTTTAATTAAATTATCTGAAAACATGAATAGGCTATAAAACTATTTTTGTTTATTACTTTGTAAATTAATACAGCTAATTTACAAAATAAAGTAGATTTATTCATGAAAAAAAAATGTTCCTGTTTTGAGGAAGCCGAGTTCAAGCAGCCGTATACTGTGCATTACACTCGTGCGATGTTTAAAAAGGACGCAGTCAACGCACACAATCTGCAATACAACCACTCGTCTCAACGTGGCACCCGCGAATGACAGCACTGCGATGCCCGCTTTGTAGCCTTGTTGAGACGCACGTCTGAGGGCACGTATCGTTTTGAATGTTTGTATGTAGCTTCCTTACTTACTGTTAGATTTATACACTGTGTTCGCATTGTGTTGAACCTGCCGCTGCCGCTAAACGTAACAGGGTCTTTGCAACATCAGGGGTGTCGTACGCTTCATTTGATTGTAGAATCGACCACGACCTTGCCGCTCTGAGCTACTGCTTAAAGCGACATGCCGAGTGATAAGAATAAAATAAATGTACTAAAATCACAGAGCACCCTCACGAAAGTCCGCATTACTAAATTCCTTTAAAGTTGATGCACGCGGAGGGGGATACTTTGTGCTTTGATTGGTCACGACAGTGTGACTTCACATTCGGATTATAAATTTGGTGATACGATTTATCTCCGTTATCAACGATTGGGAACTTTACCAACGTTATTAAAAACCCGTTAGATGCTTATTCAGTATAGCTTGACACGAGCCAGCGTAATACAACGATATTAAATACCCTATATACACCACGTGCGCTCAAAATTTGTCCCAATCAAGAAGTGCTTGAACTCCACTCAAGCACAGTGGTGGTT